CCAAGGATTTTGGTATCCTTGGGGTCCTGGAACCAATCCCTTGATGACCAAAGGACAGCTGTATAGGTTTTGCTCTTCTCTGTCTCTGTGTTGTATTTTATAATAAAAATGAAAGCTCTTCTGTGGAGATCTAATTCATAATAAAAGATTAAATCTATTCAGCTGTATTTGGGATGGGAGAGACTCATGTGACTGGTGTCTTGATACCTTTTTCTGTCTCTGATTTTACAGATGAGAACATTGACACCTACCTAGGGGTTCTACACAAATCAATTAATTAACAAATACACAAATTAATAAATAAGGAGTTTGTCCGGGGTCCCAGGCAGCTGGTGGCCGGACTGTGTCGCTAAAGCCTGGTCCAGTCACTCTTCCAGTGTTTCCATTTCCTCCCTCCCTCCTTCCTTCCCTTGCTGACAGATACGGCTTTAGGCCTGTGAGCCTGCCTCATCCTGTGTTCCCTTCCACCTCATCCTGTGACGGCGGAAAGAAGAAAGTCACAGACTGAGTACTCTTGGGCAAAGGGTTGCACAGGGCTCCCAGAGTTTCCTTGGAGCTCTGTGGGCATCTCAAGCTGACCATCTCCTGGTCACCCTGTGACCACCTGACATGGAGGGTGGTATCAGTGAAGATGGCCAGAACTTCCCCATGGAAGTTATTTCACTGCAGGGATGTATCTCATATTGTGCAAGGGCAGGCGCCTCAGGGCACTGCAGCAAATGTAGGGGTGCTCGGTTTGCAGACCCAGGGCGAGTCTATGCCTCTGGGTTCCCTGGGCGGCGGCAGCTGGAGGTCCCAGGTTTCAACTGTGTCTCTTCAGATCGTGCTGTGTCCCCTTCATGACTGGATCTGTGAAACATGGGTTGGCAGTGGTGGTTTGGAACTAACTCTTCCTACGTGGCGGCACAGTTAGGCACTCCTTTTGGTTCAGGGAATACCACGAAAGTTGCTGAGAACGTTTGGAAGCTTCTGTCCTAGAGGATATGCATGTAGGAACAGCACAGACAATACTGCTTTTATTTGTTTTGTTTGGGCTTTTTTCCCCCTTACTGTATAGTTCAGGCTGGCCTGGAACTCACTACAGACACGCCTCATTTAACAATCAAGTTCCATTCCTGCGACTTGGTTGTTAAATGAATTGGTTGCTAAATGAGGAATTGCATATGGTATGTACATTACAATACTCAAAACAAAAAAATGGCCAAAGGAAACTCCAGCTTGATGACTTTGCTTTTTATTTGCATATGCTCATGTGCAGTTCTGTAATGTATAACAACATAAAACTACAGTACTGTATAAATGGTATACTATACAAGAAAAGATACTGAGGCTTTGTAAACAAGATGTGCAGAACTGTACCAAAAAGTGACAGGTTGTAAGTTCAAACAGTCATTAATCAGGTAGGTGTTAAACAAGGAATATCTATATGTAGGCTAAACTGACCTTGAACTTGTAGTGATCCTCCTGCCTCAGCCTTCTGAGTGCTGGGATTACAAGTGTGTGCGGGCTGCAGTATGGCTTTTATTTACTCACATTTCATGTTGTTGACTCCTGACAGTTTTGTTTTCCACTTGTCATAATACTGTATATTCACCTGTTCCCTTCGTTTGTTCCCTGAATGGTTACTGAGCACTAAGTGGGAGGGGCTAGTCGAACCAAGGTCTGGAGAATGAGTTTCGCCCCAGGGCAGCCTGCAGCCCCTGCAGCTCCTGGCCCCTCTTCTTGACAGTGGGCAGTGCCTCTTGGTTTCCTCCCTGTGCAGGAATCTGCTGCTGACTCTGACCTCAAGGAGCAGAAGCAGCGAGTATGCGAGTGAGAGACAGGAGAAGGAAGACGAGTCAGCTCACCCTGCAGACCCCACGTGGGCAGGTCTAGGTTGTGTCTTTCAGATTGTAAAACCGTCCAAACTCTGAGTGCGTGCGCTGCCAGCTCAGCTACCCTAGAATCAGAGCAATTTATGGGTTCATTCATTCAATAAATTGATACTGGGTGCTCATACGTCAGTCTACGACACTGCAAAGTCCTTGCCCTTGTGGGCCTGACTCTCCAGGCAGAGAGATAGCCAGTGTGATAAAATGTGTACGATACTGGCAGGTAGTGATAAGTGCTGTGCAGGTGAGGGGAGGCAGCATGGCCAGGGGGCTGTCTTAGTGCAGGCAGTCTGCAGACTTGCATGATGGCAGGGGGTGAGACCTGCAGGTAATACCAGCAAGACAGAGTCCAGCAATGTCAACATGTGCAAAGACCCTTAGGCAGAAAGAGGCCCAGGTGACCTTTGCGGTATGGGGAGAGGGGTATCTAAGGGTGAGATCACAAAGGGCTCCATATGCTATGGAAGGACTTTAGATTTTTACTAAGTAATCTGGAACTGTTGGAGGGTTTTGATGAGGAGGTGGTGTGGTCTGACTTTCTTTTTAAAGGCTACCTCTGGCTGCTGCGTGGGGAGCAGCCCATCTGTCAGGAGTCTCTTGCAGTGGCCAGGGTGGCAAGAACGTGATTACAGGGGTGCAGATTCGCTGCTGTCCTTGCTCCCCAGCACCCTGTCAGCTTAGCACGTGCAGGGAATGTACTTGCTCTTCTGAGTTGCGCAGCCAGCACGTGTGTGTGGAGAAACTAAGCTGGCTCCGTGGGTGTCTCTGCTCTTCCGGGAAATAAGGGACCTGGGCCGCCTGGAGTGAGCAGGGAGGTGGGTGGAGAGACAGGAAGTGACACTGGCTGCCGTTGGATTCGGATTGGGGGCTTCCAGGGCCTGCACATGCGTCCTGAGCAGACTCCAGCTGGCCCCAGCTGGCCCCGGCAGGCTCTGAGGGGCAGTTACCTCCTGATTCTGTGGGACAGGACCTTCCAGAGTCTGTCAAAGCAAGCAAGTGCCGAACGCCTCTCAGTCTGATTTTTGAAAACTTGACAGACGGTGCGTGGGCTTGACTGAGATGCTGACTGGGCCGGACAGATACACATGACTAGCACCAAATAAATAGGAAACGTGTGTCTAGCACTTACATAGAAACAGTGTTCTCTGAGGACACCACAGTTAAATTTGCTCTTAAAGGTCAGAATCAATAAGGACAGGGCTGGGGGCTGGAGGTGCGTGGAGCTCATTGTAGAACGCTTGCATAGATGTGCAGGGCCCTGGCATTGATCCCCAGCACCTAAAGCAAAGCAATAGCAGCAACAGTAAAAAACTGAGTTATGATGAACTCCAGCTGCTAGGAAGTACCTCTGATTAGTGAGAAAACAAAGAACCAGGCCTGAGGATCAGTTTCCCTGCGAGTTAAAGCAGCAGGACTATGCCCAGAGCCCTTGGATGCTCTCGTGGCTTAGGGCAAGCCCTGTGGTTTCCTAAAGGGAAGGAAGCCACCAGACGTCGGATGAAAGCCATCGCCCATTGTTGGAGTTGCTGAGATGTGACTCAGCCATCCCTGCTTGAGCTGTGGCGAAAGCAACCCGCTTGGTCACAGTGCGATGCAAAATGTGCATTGTTCAGATTCTAGGACTGAGCCCAGCCTTGCTGGAAGGAAGGGGTGGAAGTGCCCTGCCCAGAGTTCAGATTCTATGAAAGATCTGCCTTCCTGCCAGGTTTCAGTGGTGGATAGGCTGGTTGAACATCTAAGGGCAGAGGTTGGTGAACTGAGGGTCCCAACACCGCGGCTGGCCCAGCAGCTTGCCAAGATTTGCAAAACAAAGAAGCTGTTTACCTCAGATCATGGTTTATTATTGCAAAAGGATGCATATTAAAGTGAGCAAAGGAAAAGGCCTGGAGGTTGGGTCCAGGAGAGGTCAGGTATGAGTTTCAGGTTGGCCTCTCCCAGTGGAGTTGCAGGGACAGTGCTTAATTTTCCTGGCAGCAACATGTGACAACCTGTATGAAGTACAGATGGTCCCTGACTTCATGCTGGCTCCAGAGCAGGGCCGCAGGACCATTCTGCTTTGCATTTTCTGTGCGGTATTCGGTAACTTACATGAGATGTTCAAGACTTTGGTATCCAGTAGGCTTTGTGTTAGATGATTTTGCCCAGCTGTAGGCTCGTGTATGTGTTTTGGGCACATTTGAAGTCGGCTGGACTAAGCTGCGATGTTTAGTAGTTTGCGTGTATTAAGTGCATTTTTTCCCCTTGAGGCACTGGGGATTGAACCCAGGGAGTCTGTGCTCAACTACATCCCCAGACCATTTTATTTTTCACTTTTATTTTTCACTTTGAAGCAAGGACTTTCTAAGTCACTTAAGTTTCCTGGGCTGGGCTCAACTTTGTGATCCTTCTGCCTCAGTCTCCCGGAGTACATAGGTGTGTGCCACCGTGCCTGACTTTAAACACTTTTTTTTTTTTTTTTTTTTTGTTTTTCTCCGGTACCGGGAACCGAACTCACGACCTTGCGCTTGCCAGGCAGGCGCTTTTGCCGCTGAGCTAAATCCCCAGCCCCTGAACACATTTTTGACTTAATACTTTTTCAGTTTTTGATGGGATTATCAAGACATAACCCCAGCATCATCAGCAAGTTAAGAAGCTTCTGTGTGGCCAACCAGAGATGCTCCCCAAGAAGTCCGGGGTGTCTTGGGGTCGGTCTGTGGGCGTGGAGCACTTGTACCTGGAAGCTTACTTACTTGGTCTCTCCCACACTTGGACCTCAGACGGATGCAGTGATCCAAAGCCTGGCATGCAAAGCCAAGTGCTCACCACAAGTCTCGTTCCTAGCATTAACTATTTCCAAGGCCCAAGTTCTCAGGGATCCAGAGACATTCTTGTGAGGCCAGAGGTTCTGGGGTTAGAGCTTATTTCATAGAGCCCTTCAGGGGCCGACCTTGAAGACCCCTGGACTCTTCAGGATTTGGGACATCCTGAGGGTTGGAGAAGGGTTTCTGAGCGAATATCTCCTGCCCAGGGCTCTGGTGCTGCAGCCCCACAGGCGTGATGCTGGGGCCACAGCATTCGGGGGAACCCCAACCTCTCTCAGGTGCACTGTGCTCCTCCCTGCTGACGTCTGCCGTTTCTGTCTCCTGACAGTTCTGTGATCAACATGGGCGACTCCCACATGGACACTGGTGCCAGCAATGCGGAGGCAGTAGCCGAAGAAGTGTCTCTCTTCAGCATGACGGACATGATTCTGTTTTCTCTCATCATGGGTGTCCTAACCTACTGGTTCCTCTTTAGAAAGAAGAAAGAAGAAGTCCCCGAGTTCACTAAAATTTCAACAACGTAAGTGGCAGTGCCCAGCCCCCTTGTCCCTCCTCTTCCTCAGCGTTCCTGAGCACCCCTTGCATCCTTCCAAGCAACACCCCACACTTTGGCCAGGGCTGAGAGAAAAGGGGACGCTGGGGAGCATTTCAGGCTGAATTTGGGGTTTGGCCTTCTTAATGGATCGCTCAGAATTGGCTTAATAATCCCTGATGTTTCCACAGCATGTCAGCAGAACATACCATTTTACTTTGAGATAAAAACTTGAGGCCTCAGCCAGCAAGTTGCAGAGCTTTGATTCACTCGAGGCCCAGTGATTGGGTTTTGTAAGCAGGCAGCTCAGAGCTGCCTTTGCATAGAGTTATACAGTAGGGAAGTCACTCCTCGTTGGATTTTGTGCAGTTCTTTTTAATACCAATAAGGAGAATCATCGTTTGTTACTTCTTTATTACTTAACACTTGCAGACTTCTCCTTTGGAGGAGGTAAGCTTAAGCTTAGAGCTTCGGGGAGTTATCAAGCCCAACTTTCCTAACAGTATTTTATTTTTACTTTGTTGGAATTTGCTTAACTTTCCATAAAGCCTCCTTGTAAGTGTAAGTAAAAAGGGCTTAGAGTGTTGACACACCAGTAATCCCAGCACTGTGGGAGGCTGAGGCAGAAGGATGGCAAATTCGAGCCTACTCTGGGCAACTTAGTGATTGAACAAGACCCTGTCTCAGTATAAAAGATTTCTTAAAAGGTGGGGTTGGGAATGGAGTTCAGTGGAAGGGCCCTGGGTTTAATCCCCAGTACCATGGAAGAAAAAATAAATAAAAGAGTGAATTAGTTAAAGAAAAATACTAAGGGGGACTGGGGATTTAGCTCAGCGGCAAAGCACCTGCCTGGCAAGTGCAAGGTCGTGAGTTCGGTTCCTGGTACCGGAAAAAAACCAAAAAAAAAAAAAAAAAATACTAAGGGAATAATGGGACAGATGCATGTAGATAGGAAAAAGTGATGATACAGATGTAGCCAAGTGACTGCACCCTTACTGAGCTACATCCTAGCCCTGGGTAACACCCTTCCCTCCTAGAAGTTAGTCTTCCACCATTAAAGCAGGTGTTTGTGGAATACAATTCTTGTGCTGGTAGGGCATTTATTTTACTTGTTTAAAAACTGGGTTAAGTCTTATCTTCCTCAGTGATCAGCTGAACAGATATCTACAGAGGCCCCAGCTACAGCATTCTAGGGCTTCTCTAGCTCAAGTCTCCAAATCTTTCCAGACTTCTGAAAATCAGTTCCAAAGCGTTCTGAACCACGTGGTCAGGTGTAGTCACAGCAACAACCCCACATCTGGTATCAATTTTCTGTATTAGTGAGCTTTCCCATCACTGACACAATACCGAACACCTACAAGTGGAAAGAGGAGAAGTTTGATTTGGTTCATAATTTCAGGAGATTTAGTCCATGGTCAGGTGATTCCAAGGCAAAAGAGTGTGGCAGAGCACTGATGCTTAGTACATGATGGCTGTAAATCAGAGCAAGAAACCAGTGCCGGAGAAAAAGAGGCAAGGGGCCAGATGCAGACGCCAGGTCAATCAGGTCGACAGTCTACCTTTACCATCACAATGCCAACAAGCATGAAAGCTATGGGCATGGATATTTGAAAGCCAAATCAATGAGCCAGCTGCAGCCTGGCCAGCAAACAGTTAGAATATGGAAAGCCATAGGAAATACTTCTGTAGTTACCTGTGCTTCTGCTGTGGGCTTGTGGGCTCCATGGATCCAGGAGGACCCCTGGGTGCTCAGGTGAATCTCCCAGTGTGTGGGCCTCTTGCCCTCCCTGCTACCCGCCAGGAGCCCGGATACTCTCTGTGCGGCCACTGCCCATGTGTGGCTGAAGAAGACACTACCATGAACCTTCTGGAGGTGGGGTCCTCGAGGCTGGCGCACCTGCCCTCCTGGCACAGATCAGCATTCCTTCCTCTGGGAAGCTGCTCTGGACAGTGAAGGCTTAATACATCCATACAGCAGACTGCACCCGTGAAGTCTTAGTAACTTTACCTGTCACGATTTAAAGGAGGAGAGATTTATTTTGGCTCACGGTTTTTAGAGGATTCAGTCCGTGGTTGGCTGGCTCCAAAGTAGAAATGGCGTGGTGGAGGGGCCTGGCAGAGAGAAGCTAACCAGCCCATGGCAGCGAGGAAGCAGAGAGAGAAGGGAGGAGCCACGGAGGAGAATTCGGCCTTCCAGGTCTCACCCCCAGGCGACGCACCTCCAACCAGAGTTGGCAGAGCCTAGTATTACATTGCATTTCTCTGATGCTCACTGAAGTTGCTCCCCTTTCTGAACGTTTATTGTCCACTTAAACCTTTGGTGAAGGTCCTATTCTAGAGTCTTGGGTTCTCAGCCTTCTTGTCAGTTTGTCTGAGTTCTTTATATTTTAGGTGTGACATTCCTTTCTGAGATACGTGCACTACAAATATCTTTTCCCTGCCACAGCCTTCCTTTTATTCTTAGTCGTCTTTTGGTGATGAGAAGTTCTTCATTTAAGCTTAATCTAATTTGTTAGCCTTTTAATCAGTCTTAACCTTTATGGCTTAAGCTTTTGTTTCCAGTTTAAGAAATCTTCACCAGGGTTGGGGCATAGCTCAGTGGTAGGCCACTGGCCTAGCATGTTTTTTTGAGGCCTTGGGTTCAATCCCCGGGCTGCAGAAAGAAAGAAGAAAGGAAGGAATAAAGGAAGAAACAAGGAGGAAGGAAGAAGAAATCTTGAAGTCATGAAGATAATCTTTTGTGTGCTCACTTTGGCAGCACATATACTAAAATTGGAATGATACAGATAGTGTTTTGTGTTTTCTTCTAGAAGGTTGTTTTAGCTTTTATTCTTATTTTTTGTTTGTTTGTTTTGTTTTTGTTTTTTCCGGTACCGGGAATCGAACCCACGACCTCGCACTTGCCAGGCACATGCTGTGACGCTGAGCTAAATCCCCAGCCCTAGCTTTTATTCTTAAATGGAATCCAGCTGACACTGGTAAACGTGAACTAGTTTAAGATTCCTTTCATTCCTCACGGATGTCTGGTTATGCAAATAGCCTTCCGTGCCCACTGTTTCCTTCGGCCTCACACTAGACACAGATCAGGTGACCACCTGTGTGAGGTGGATTTCTAGACCTTCTTCTGTTTTGCTGAGCTGTAATCTGTCCTGTCACCAATACCATGTTGTCCTGTTTTCTGTGACCTCATAGTCACAAAAGTCATAGTCACGTAGTCACAGAAGTCTATGACTGTGTCTTGACACCTGGTGATCTAAATCCTCCAGCTTTGTTCTTTAAGATTCTCTTGGCTTTTTTTCCCCTTGACATAAATTTTAGAGCCAGTCCACCAAACTCAAATTTTAAAAATGAAACCCCTGCTAGGGTTTAGTTGGGATTAGATGGAATTTAGATCCTTCATCATGAGCCTTCTAGGTCCTGACTAGTTTATGTCCCCAGCAGGTCCTTTGGAACTGTTTTCAGTAGCAGTTAGACTTGTTCAGGAGGAGCAGTCCCGAGCTCTCTCGCCCAGTGACATGCACCTCGTGTGCCCCTAGATGGAGCCTAGGAGGCCCGGGGCGTGCCAGGCCCGCTCTGAGTGTTGCGTGCTGCATGGGAAGGGCCCTCTTGGGTGGGGATTTGTTTGCATTGGCGGGGTTCCCTTCCTGTCTGTCTGGGGCCCCACGTTAGCACAGGGATGCCCATTGGAGTGATGCTACCCGCAGAATGGCTGTTGCTTAACAAATGCTGGGTCCGTATATGTGGCTGCCTTCTTGGCAAACTGTGCCTGGGTTTGGTTTACACATTTTTGGGGGTAAGGGCGGGGTTTAAGACAGGATCCTGCTCTGTAATTCAGGCTGGCCTTGAACTCACTATGTAGCCCAGGCTGATGTCAAATTTACAGCAGTCCTCTTGCCTCAGCCTCTGGATTGCTGGGATTGCACAGTATTTTTTTTTTTTTTTAAGTGTAGTTAAAACATTAAGAAGTCTGGCAGTATCACCTAACAACCAGACTTTGAAGTTCTTTTTTTTTTTTTAAATTTTACTTAAAGAGAAAAAACCAGTAAAACAAAATTTCAAAACAAGATAATAAGAGGGTAACAGTGGTTAATACATTGCATATTATTATCTTTAAATTAGTTATTCAAAGTATAAGATAGCTTCTTTTGAAAAAGGAGAAAAAAGCAAAGAACTCCCAGAGGACCTGGCCATGCTGGGCCCAGGGAGACACACACAGCAGGGGCCCCGCCCATGTCCCCCCAACCCCACGCTCACGGCTGCGGCTCCCAGGGAGCTCTGCAGCACTCCCACTCCAATCTCTGCACTGCTCCTGGAGCCAGAGGGTGCTTCTCACTTTGCAACATTCCAAACAGACACCAAAGTGTAGAGCACAGGAAAGTGAGCCCGTCCTGACCCATTACTCAGTTTTGACGAACGCCAGCTCCTCGCCTTCTCCTGACTTTCTTCCACCCCTCTCCCTGCTGCTCTGAGCTATTTTAAAACAATCCCCAGAAATCATTTTGTCTGCAAGTCTCTGTCCTCCAAAGTTGAAGGACTGTTCTTTAAATATCACGCAGTGCTGTCCTCACACTCCCGAAGGCCAGCACTAGCCCTTCTCCGTGGTCACACCCCATCAGATCCCTGAGGGGCAGGGCCATGTTTTCTTTGACATTTTTAATAGTGTTTTGTTTTTAAAATTCAGGATCGAAACGAAGCCCATTTATTACAATTAGTAAATCTAATCTTTCTCTTTCCTAAGGAATTAGATATATTAAGGTATAATTTACATGCAATAAAGCTTCCCCTTTTTGGGCTGAGCATGGTGCCATGTGTCTTTAATCCCAGTGCAAGGGAGGCTGAGGCAGGAAGATCTTGAGTGTGAGCCAAGCTTGGACTCTATTGTGAGATCCATCTCAAAATTCAAAGCAAAACCCTTTTAACTGTACAGCTGAATCTTGAAAGATGTGTGTAGTTGAATCACAATCAAGATGTAGCGCATTCCACCACTC